GTGGGTAAAAACCTCAGAAGTGAGGTTTTTACCCACGAAAGCTTATGCCCAAATAAATCTGTTAGTCTTTAAGGTGCCACCAGACTCCTTGTTGTTTTTGTAGATACAGACTAACATGGCTACCCCCTGGTACTTAACATCTAGGCAGGTAGAACTCCAGCTCTGCTTCCTTTAATCATTGACAAAAGAGGTTGTGTTGCTGTGTGGGGGCAGAGCTGGACTTGAAACTCTTCCTGCCACCCCTCTCCACCTGCCTTCCGTCTCTCGCACACTGATTCTCTCCAGCAGGGGGCAATGCACACACACACACACACACTCTCTCTCTCTCTCTCTCTCTCTCTCTCTCTCTCTCGCTCTCTGTCTCCAGCAGGGGGCAGCACACACACGGATTCAGTACAGCAAGCGACACTACAATAGACACAGACACACGCACTGATTCTCTCCAGCAGGGGGCAGTGCGCACACACACACACATGCACAAACACACAGAGATTCTCTCCAGCAAGGGGCGGCGCGCAGACACCCCTGTGCATGCACACACTCTGATTCTCTCCAGCAGGGGGCAGTGCATGCACACACACACACACACACACACTGATTCTCTCCAGCAGGGGACATCACACACACACACACACACACACACACACACAAATTCTCTCTAGCAGGGGCACCACACACACAGACTGATTCTCTCCAGCAAGGGCAGTGCGCACACGCACACACACACACATACACAGCTTCTCTTCAGCAGGGGGCACCACACACACAGATTTCAGAGTAGCAGCCGTGTTAGTCTGTATCCTCAAAAAGAACAGGAGTACTTGTGGCACCTTATAAATAAATTTGTTAGGCTTGGTCTACACTTACCCCCCAATTCGAACTAAGGTACGCAACTTCAGCTACGTGAATAACGTAGCTGAAGTCGACGTACCTTAGGGTACGTCTACACTACGAGATTAATTCGAATTTAGATAATTCGAATTTGGGAAACAGATTGTATAAATTCGATTGTGCACGGCCACACTAAGCACATTAATTCGGTTTTTAACCACATTAATTCGGTGATGTGCGGCCACACTACCCCATTAACTTTAACCACATTAATTCGGTGGTGTGCGGCCACACTACCCCTAATTCGAATTAACAAAATCGATTTTGGTGCTACTCCGCTCGTCGGGGTGGAGTACAGAAATCGATTTTAAGTGCCCTTTAATTCGAAGTAACTGGCTCCGTTGTGTGGACGGGTTAAGGATTAATTCGGATTAACGCAGCTAAATCCGAATTAAAGTCGTAGTGTAGACCAGGCCTTAGTTCGAACTTACCTTGGTCCACACGCGGCAGGCAGGCTCCCCCGTCGACGCCGCAGTACTCCTCTCGTCTAGCTGGAGTACCGCAGTCGACGGCGATCACTTCCTGGTTCGACTTATCGCGTCCAGACAAGACGCGATAAGTCGAACCCAGAACTTCGATTCCCAGCCGCCGAACTAGCGGCTGGGTGTAGACATACCCTTAGTCTCTAAGGCCTGGTCTACACTAGGACTTTAATTCGGATTTAGCTGCCTTAATCCGAATTAACCCTTCACCCGTCCACACTACAGAGCCAGTTAATTCGAATTAAAGGGCCCTTTAAATCGATTTCTGTACTCCACCTCGACGAACGGAGTAGAGCCTAAATCGATTTTGTTAATTCGAATTAGGGTTAGTGTGGACGCACACCACCGAATTACTGTGTTTAAGTTAATGGGGTAGTGTGGCCGCACACCACCGAATTAATGTGGTTTAAAACCGAATTAAGGTGCTTAGTGTGGCCGCGCACAATCGAATTTATACAACCTGTTTCCCAAATTCGAATTATCTAAATTCGGATTAATCCTGTAGTGTAGACATACCCAAAGGTGCCACAAGAACTCCTGTTCTTTTTGCACACACACAGAGATCCTCTCCAGCAGGGGGCACCACACACACTCACACACACACACAGGAGGCGGAGGATCGTTAACCCCCCAGGATCGGCCTGGGGAGTCTCCAGGATTTGAAGATTAAGCTTTAATTCGAGATTATGGCGCTGAATGCAACCACCCGCCAACCACAACCCTACTGTGGGGGACAGGCAGGGGAGTGACCCCCGTGGAGGACAGCGATGCGGGGGGTGGGATGGGGTGACCCAGGGTGGGCTCAGTGGGGTGGCAAGGAGCAGGGTGACCCGGGGGGAACAACATGAGGGGGGCAAGGGAGGGAGGCAGGGCCGGCTCCAGGCACCAGCTAAAGAAGCAGGTGCTTGGGGCGGCCAATAGGAAGGGGCGGCACTTCGGGCGCTGTTGGGGCGGCATGTCCGGGGTCTTCGGCGGCAATTCGGTGGCGGGTCCCTCAGTCGCTCTGGGAGCGAAGGACCTACCGCCGAATTGCTGCGGAAGACCCCGGACATGCCGCCCCAACAGCGCCCGAAGTGCCGCC